TGATCTTAAATCATATGATTTAGTATTAATCAATAAGATCTCATATGTTGTATAACTATATGTTATGTAAAAATACTAACATGTAATAAATTTAGTAATAGCATTTATAAGATGCATTTCTTATTAAGTTTCTGTAATATAATTACTAAAAATTTGACATGAATATAACCTCTCTTTTATTATTTTTGCTGTACTCTTAACTAAATTTTAGTAAGATTTAAGAAGCTATAGAATAGCATTGCAACATTATAATAAATAGTTATGTATTAATTAAGCCATTAATTCTTCAATATTCTCTAGTATTCTACAATGTGATTTATACTTACTAATAAGCCACTCTGTAGCTCTACCCTCTAACCTTTTGTTATACGTATCTATATATCTCTATAACTTGCATACAAACTTATGAATGGTTGTTATAAGTACACTAATAAGAACTTCTGAAACCTGCTTTAATAAATCTACAAAACTATAACTACATAGCCTCATAATCTCTCACTTTGCATGACTTCAGTATCACTCTATAAAGTTACACTCACAATAGAATTTTGAATATTATTTAAATATATGTTCTACTTTTATAATAGCTTCTTCTAATATTGACTGTTCATAAAAATCTGATTGTAGTAATATGATTCATCATATATAACAGCCTAATCTTTTTACATTTATTAGAACACTATTCACACATTAAACAAATGCTTTTCATTGACCAGAGATTATATTCTTTAAGTACTTATTTTATATATTTTGATTGCCCTTTCAATTGATGATTATCTGGAAATATTATCAATGTTCAATCTTATTACTATACTCATTAACATACCAACTATTATGTATTGTAAGCTGTTTCATTTGGGAGTTCATGTTCATTCTTGATGCAATAAGTGTATCAGCTGCTATAGCATTATGGTTTGTTGATTGATTAAAGCAAAAAACTCTAATACATCCAGGATGCAATACCTCAAATATCAGAATTGCCTGATGTATGAGCTTTATTTATAAATAAAGAGAAACTTTAATATTTTCTTATATTTCTACATAATATAGTACAATAACTCACCTGTTTTAACATATATTTTGATTTTCAATATCTATCCGCTTACCCTATAAAAAATTTGCATACGTTTTTTCATTATTATAAATAAGTTTTGTATACGTTTTTTGAAATTCCGTATC